ACAGCTAGCAAAGCTGGCAGCAGATCACCTCAGACACGCGTGAGCCCCTCCATGCCCCGTCCACACTGCCCCTCTGCAACATGGTGAGCTGAACAGTGTTAGGCCAAAGTTTGGGGTATTTTTGTGCAGCAAAAACAAAGCGTCCACATTAAAGTAAACATTCCTAATTTAAAAACAAAAATCTGAAGACGGCCAACGCTGAGCCCAAATTCCTACATGGCAATGATTAGTTGACATGGGCAGTGGCTCCACCTTTACCCAAGCCATAGCATGAACTTCCCAGCTTGTCATTATTCTCTTGCCCATGTTGGGGTCAAGTGGTGTAGTCTCGGTTAGGTGTTGTTACATTTATGTCAAAGACGACATGAAATACTATGGTCCACATACTTGAGTTACTTTCATGAGTGAGAAAACCAGCACAATCACTTTGGAGAATTGTTGGTCAATATCTATTAACGCTGAACATATGCATCCTTCATGACCCAGGAATTCCACAACCAGGGTTAAATCCAAGAAAAATGAGTATACATTCCAAAAGATGTGGAAAATGTTCACAGCAGCACTATTCCTAGAGTCTCAAACTGGCTACTAATAAACTATTGTAGTTATCATCAACATTAGAATAAAATGTGGCATATCCCTAGGGACAAACCTTATACATGATGCTGTGCATGAGAACCCGAACACAGGCGCATACATGCTCATGATTCTACTTCTAGTTCAAAAACAGACAAAACTAAAAGCAGGTGTTAGGAGTTGCGTGGTGGTTACCCTTGGGGATATGCCTCGTTGTGAAGGAGCAAACACGGGGTTCTGACAAGTTGGTAATACTGTTCTGTAACCTGGGTGCTGTTTGCATGGATATATACTCTTGGAAATTCACCATGCTGTACATTTATGATCCGTCCACCTCAATAAAAGGTTTGATTTAAAAAGCAAAAACTTTAAAAAGTGGAACAAGAAGACCAAGAGGATGGCCATGCATCAAGAAAAATGATTAAGTATTTTCCCTAGTTTAGGGCTATCAGAAAGACAAACTCTACAGTACAGTATGCAATGTGATAAAAAGAACGACAGCCATTATGAAACAAATCATCACAGAAGTATGGCAGGAACCTGGGAAAGATGCAAACAAACCACCATCTGATGAATTAGGGGAAGAGGGCACAATCAGCAACACCTAGACTACTTTATTCATCTGTATTACCAGTCAGATCTCTGTGGGCTTTGAGGCTTACAACCAATAAATTATGAGTCAAAGCCTTTTCTATAAAGGTTACCATCATTTCTCAGACTTAAAATATTGGGCTTACTACCCCTTTAAAAAATCAATTACCATATCACACGATCTCACTCATTTGTGGAATATAATGCATAACAAACTGATGTACACAATTAGAACCAGAGACACGGACGCATCGAACAGACTATACAACCTATGAGGGAAGGTGGGGGGTGAGGAGGTAGGAGATCAACCAAAGGATTGTATGCATGCGTATGAGCAAAACCAATGGACCCAGACAGTAGGGGGGTGAGGGCTTGTGCTTGGCGAAAGGAGTGGCTGGGGAGAGGACAGAGGGGGGAAAAGGAGATTTGTGTAATACTTTAAACAATTAAGTAATGTTTTAAAAAATCAATTACCTTCCTCACGCTCATCTGCCAAATGGGGCTAACAATGGCCACCGGAGAGGGTTACTGGACGAGCTGAAAAAGATAATGAGGTCTCTAGACCTTTGAGACAGAACCAAGGAGACAGCATGTAGGCACCACAAGGAATTACAGGCAGTCCTCAGATTATGACGAGATCTGTTCCTATGGCGCAATGTAACTCAATTTTCACTGTAAGGCGGAACCCACCTACATAAGCACCTGCGTCCCTCACAGGGAGCACAGACACAGCAGTAATGAAGTGAAACAGTAAAAAAGAAAAATGTAAAAGATGATAATTCCTGACCTTGACCTGTGGTAAATAAATAATAAAAAACATAAAGCACATATGTACATACATCAAAATGACGGAACTTTTTTTTTAAATAAATACTGTAAATCGGAGATGGCGACGTAACCACGAAACAAGTCGAGCCCGACATAACCCGAGGACCACCTGTATTACTTTACTTAGAGCAGTGTCACTGTTGATTGCAAAATACTAAAAACAAATTTAGAGGTACCCCAAAGGCTGGCTGCTACTCACAGCTGTGCACTACACGGAGGCTCCCAGGACCTAATGTGGCGATTGGGGGGAGCAGAGATCACCCCCCGGTTCCAGGACAGCTTTCACAACTACCCTTAGCTTCGGATGTGCCCTTGCAAACTCCCAGTAGTCAAGTCCCTCCCATTTCTAGAATACTTAAGTTAGGACGCCACTATTTTTTTTTTAAATATATTTTATTGGTTTTTTAGAGAGGGAGATAGCTAGAAACGTCGATGAGAGAGAATCATCGATCAGCTGCCTCTTGCACACCCCCTACTGGGGACGTGCCTGCAACCAAGGTACATTCCCTTGACCGGAATCAAACCCGGGACCTTTCAGTCCGCAGACCGACGCTCAACCACTGAGCCAAACCGGTTTCGGCAGGACGCCACTATTTTTGGTATCAATGCCTACCCCTCACTAGTGTTAGGGCTGGAAAGCCTTCAGAATCAGGACCTCAAACCAAAGAAACTGTACAGCAGAGAGTATCTCAAAACCTGCCTGATCGTCCCAACTGGCTGATTTCTGGGCTCTTTCTCTGCTCAATGACAGGCAGCAGGTCTGGGGAGGGGTCAGAACCCAGATTTTATTTTTTTTAACCTTTATTGTTGAAAGTATTACATGTCCCTCTGTTTCCCCCCACTGATCCCTTCTAGCCCACCACTAACCCCATCCCAGGCCTTCACCCCGCTGTTGTCTGTGTGCATGGGTTATGCATATATGCATACAAGTTCTTTGGTTGATCTCTTCCCACCCCCACCTTCCCTCTGAGAATGGACAGTCTGCAGAATCCAGACTCTAATAAAGCCTAAGGCAGTGGTCGGCAAACCTCGGCTCTCGAGCCACATGCAACTCTTTAGCCCCTTGAATGTGGCTCTTCCACAAAATACCACGGCCTGGGTGAGTCTATTTTGAAGAAGTGGCGTTAGAAGAAGTTTAAGTTTAAAAAATGTGGCTCTCAAAAGAAATTTCAGTCATTGTACTGTTGATATTTGGCTCTGTTAACTAATGAGTTTGCTGACCACTGGTCTAAGGTGATTCTTTTTTTGTTGTTGTTGTTAAATATATTTTATTGATTTTGTACAGAGAGGAAGGGAGAGAGATAGCGAGTTAGAAACATCGACGAGAGTCATCGATCAGCTGTCTCTTGCACACCCCCTACTGGAGATGTGCCCGCAACCAAGGTACATGCCCTTGACCGGAATCGAACCCGGGACCCTTCAGTCCCCAAGCCGACGCTCTATCCATTGAGCCAAACCGGTTTCGGCTAAGGTGATTCTTATACCAAGTCCAGTTTGGGAAACTCCCACCTGGTGAAATGTAGAGCCCAACAGGCCTGCACCTGAATGCAATCCCTGGCATTGTCAGCTGGGTACGCCTGGCCAAAGGCAGAAAAACCTCTTTGAGTTCCCTCCATTTGAAAAGACTATGCTACCACCCAAGCTTGTGCAGCCTGAAGACACTGTCACACTCAGTGGGGAGGACTTCAGCTGCGAGGCCACGAGCTTGCCTTTGTCCCAATAATAAGGTGACCAGACCTTCTGCTTTTGGCGGGACAATCCCGATTTTTCACAATTTGTCCCGCGTCCAAAAATCGGGACTTATTTCAAACGCCATGGGACCCAGGACGAATTGTTAAAAAGCGGGACTGTCCCGCCAAAAGCAGGATGTCTGGTCACCTTACCCAATAATCCGATTTCCAGTTTATTTCTGCTCCCAAGGGCTGGTCTTGCCTCGGCCTACAAACCTATGTACTTCCGTGGCAATAACTCTGCACAGACCCGGACTGACCTGAGCACCTCATCGGGGGCTAAGCCTTTTTCCCATGGCACTGGTTTTCTTTCTGTATCTGTCAGACTTCAGGGACGACCCGTTTCCTACAGAAGCAGGAGTGATGCCGGCATGCATTTCCATGTGTCAGAACTGTCACATGAAATGAGAAGGTCAATAACATACACCAAAAAAGGTTCTTTCTAGCCTTAGAGATAAAGCAGAGCACAGGACCCAGACACCTGGTAAAAACTCACGGCTATTAATAGTATTTGAATATAATTGCATAACATGTTAACCATTAAGCCATCATTCACCAAATCAACTTGCCAATAACAGAACCCTTATTTTAAAGACCCATTAAAACTTGCTGCCTTGCTCTCTTAACCATGAATATGTTCAGGTGATCCTGTTTATCCCCACTCGGTAAAGGAGGCTTTTTGGGGAGAGAAGAGGGTTTTTTGGGGAGCGAAGGGGACGTAAGGCTCCCCATCTTCCTCCAGTTTCACAGAGAGACCCATGCCCAACAAAATGATAAAGCCTCCATACTATAATAATGATAGTCCCCGAAGGATTATTCCTTTTTCATTATTGTCGAAGTAATACATATGCAGTTGAAGCTTGAATAGTGCAAACAGCATTCAGAGACCAGTCAAAATCACTTCCTACCCATGTCCTAGTCCTCTTCCCTAAAGGTGACCTTGTTAAAAGTTTAGGGATCCCTCTAAAGCAAGATGCCTCGGTCTTAGCTTCACGGACATTTGGGGCCAGATAACTGGGGCGGGAGGGCTGCTCTGTGCGTTAAGATGTTCCTGAGCATCCCTGGCCTCTGCCCGCAGCAACGCCCCTCCACACTCCCGTTTAGTCGCCCCAGTTGGGAACCACTGCTTCGGGAGAACCTCTGTGCACGCACAGGGGCGAGTGGAACCTCACTCGTTTTTCTCCCCACACTGGCGACACACAGTTCCTTTCCCTGGGAGGTTGTACCGGGGGGTGGGGCCGGGGCTGGCCTCGGCCGGAGGCGACGGCCACTCACCAGGTCTCGGATGAGCTGGTCCACCAGCTGCTCCGCGCCCCCGGCCCCGTCACGGGCTGGCGGGGAGCGGGAGCGGCTCGCCGCGTCCTGCCTCTCGGCCCCGGCCGCCCGCGCCGCCGGGGGCCGGCTCGCGCCCTCCAGCAGGCCCTGCGCCAGCGCCAGGTACCCCGAGGCCTGCTCGCCGCGCCCGGGAGCCACCTCGGGCCGCCGCGCCCGCCGCTCCGCAGCCTCGGGCCGCCGCCGCTTCCGCTGCGCCTGGGCCTGCGCCAGCTCCTCCTGCCAGCGCCTGCGGAACTCGTCCAGGCTGTGGTGGTCCATGGCCCCCGCCGCCGGCCCTCCGCGTCGCCCTCCGCCGTGCCGGGTGCCACGGGACGGTCCCTCCGCCGGAAGTGTCCGCCGCGGCCGGAAACCGCAGCCGGCTGCACGCGGGTTCCGGGCAGGCGGCCCCGCCCCCGCTGTTGTCACCTGCAATGGGCTGGAGGCGCCCCGGGCCAAGGTCAGTGCCATGAACCTGATGCTCCTCGGCTTTCCCGCTTGTGGCTTTCGCCAGACGCAGACTTTGCGTCGAGCACTGTTTCTTCATTCAGACATCCATTGAGCAACTATTATAGGCCAGGCGCTCAGAATACAGCATTTAAATCTCCTCCAACCCTTACCCCGCGCCCCCACCCCCCAAAAAAATCCTTCCCATCTTGGGGTTTGCCTTCAGGGGGTGGGAATCACGTTTAATTCATCCAACTAGTGAATATGAATGCTTGAGTTAGTAGTAAGTGGTACAAAAATAAATAAATAAATAAATAAATAAATAAATAAATAAATAAATACAAGGTAATAAAATAAGGTCAGGCGAGTGGATGGAGGGATTAACTTTAAGAAGGATGTCAGTCATCACAGGACCTTCTCAGCTCTCTCTCTTCAAATCTCCCTCGGCCTCCATCCTGTAAGGCCGCTTGTGACATTGGGCCCATCTGGATAATCCAAGATACTTGCAACATGCCATGATCCTTCATTCAGTCACACTTGCAAAAGCCTTTTGATCATTTAAGGTAACATCCACAGGTTCCAGCGATTAAGACCTGGCTATCTTTTAGGCCAGTGTTTCCCAAACTTCTCTCATGATGAGAATCACCTGGTGGAGTTGTTAAAATACAGATTCCTGAATCCCAACTAAGAAGTGCTAAACTAGAATTTTTGGGGACATATAGGTAAAATTGTATACTTAACTAGTACTCTAAGCTTTTTTCAGTGCAGTGAGCACGGACCCAAATGCCTACAGGGGACTCCAGGAGGCAAAAATGAGGCAAGTGGGCCAGGTGTGGATTGTGGTTCCTGGCTGCCCATTTGGAGTGGGAAACCAACACTCAGCTCCACCCAAGTCTTGGATCTTAGTCCAGATTTTCCAAAATTCAGTATCTTTATTTTTATTGTTAGCAACAATTTCCACTTTTTAAAAGAAAAGCGTTTTTATTTAAAGCATGAGTTGTGCCCTGGCCAGTGTGTTTAGTGGTTAAAGCACCAACCTACTCACCAAGTGGTCACAGGTTCTATTCCCCGCCAAGGGCAATGCCTGGGCTGCGGGTGATCCTGAACCCCGGCCATGATGGGGTGCATGGGAGAGGCAACCAATTCATGTATCTCTCTTGACATTTATAACCTCCCCCCCCCCCATCCCCACACTAAAAAAAAAAAAATGAAAAAAATACTCAGGTGAGGATTAACAACAACAAAAAAGCCAAAGTTTAGTTCAATATCCTTCAAACCCAACAGGAGTCCTTTCCTGAACAATCCATGATTTAGGACAAAACTCTCTTCAATTTACATTAGGAAACCCCTTTAGTTCTTGTAAGCAGAACTGGACAATCACACTTCATTGGGGATCACGAAAGTGTGGCAAACACCAGGGCAGGAGAATGATGGGAGTTAAATCATTTTTAATCACGTTTAATGATTTGAGGCAGTGGTTGGCAAACTCATTAAGTCAACAGAGCCAAATATCAACAGTACAACGATTGAGATTTCTTTTGAGAGCCAAATTTTTTAAACTTAAACTATATAGGTAGGTACATTGTTATTAACTTAATTAGGGTACTACTAAGCTGGCCTTTGCTAAAAACTCAAGGGGCCAAAGAGCCGCATGTGGCTCACGAGCCGCAGTTTGCCGACCACTGATTCGAGGCACTGCCATCCTGTTTATTCAACGGGGCTGAGCCATTTGACCTGCCCACCAGTTGTGTGTGAGGTTTCAGTGTGTGTTTTACACCTTCCGGTTCAAACCTCTCTGCGGTCTTTTAAAAAATATATATTTTATTGATTTTTTACAGAGAGGAAGGGAGAGAGATAGAGAGCTAGAAATGCCGATGAGAGAGAAACATCGACCAGCTGCCTCCTGCACACCCCCCACTGGGGATGCACCCGCAACCAATGTGCTTGCCCTTGACCGGAATTGAACCCGGGACCCCTCAGTCCGCAGACCGACGCTCTACCACTGAGCCAAACCGGTTTTGGCCTCTCTGCGGTCTTAAGAAGCTAAGACCTTTTCCTTCTCAGGGCCTTTGCACACACTTCCCTCTTCCTAGAACACTTTCCCCGAACGATTTCTCAATGCTGCTGCCCCCTTCACCCCTCAGCTCTCAGCTGAAATGGAACCTCTACAGACAAGCCAAGTTCATCCTGTGTTCTCAGCCCTTAGAACAAAGCCTGGTGCTGTGCTCAGTAATTGTCGGTTACATGAATGAATGAACAACTTAATCCCCAAATGATGGAGCTAAGATCTGGCAGAGGCACTTCTGAGTTTGTGTCCACACGTAATAGATGCTCAATAAATATCTGTTGCTGCTGAGGCTGCCAGTAATAAAGAGAGCCAGAACTGCATGGGATGCCAAAACCAGTTTGGCTCGGTGGATAGAGTGTCGGCTTGGGGACTCAAAGGTCCCGGGTTCGATTCCAGTGAAGGGCATGTACCTTGGTTGTGGGCATATCCCCAGTGGGCAGTGTGCAAGAGGCAGCTGATCGATGACTCTCTCTCATCATCGATGTTTCTAACTATCTCTCTCCCTTCCTCTCTGTACAAAATCAATAAAATATATATATTTTTAAAAAAGAACTGCATGGGAGCATGCGTGTGCTCGTGTGTGTGCGCGTGCACATGCACACACACACATGAGTAGCAGAGAGAAAGATAAATCCACTCCTTTAAGAAAAAAAGTGAGGCATGTTATTGTAGGTCTCATAAATCAACACAAGTGCCCACACAGAAGATAGAGAGAGTTGCTTGGTCTTTTCCACTTTGCAATCTGCAAAGTGTCTCCTCTTCTTTCTGTTTCAATAGAAAAATCACTCTGAGCACTTTGGTGCACGGAGCACTTTGGAACCCTAATTACAGGTGACACACAAATGGAAAGAAAAATAGGAAATCAAACGTTGGAGCCAATACGTTGCCATTTATGTGGGCACTTAATAGCAGCAAAGTGCCCTAAGCCACGCCGAATTATCTCAAGCACTTTGCAGACCGACATCACAGGGGCCGCCGTGAGGATGAAGTCAGGGATGCCTGTCACATGCCAAGCTCTTTGGAGATGTGTCAATGTTGTGAATCTCAATGTCCATTTTCACGAGATGTCTTCAAGGTCAATGCCATGTAAGCCTGAAGCCTGTCTCTAGCCCACCTCTATAGCTGATCTCTCAATGCTTGCCACCCTCATGTCTAAGCTTTAATCATCTCCACCTCTTATAGCTTTCCACCTCAGCATGCTCTCTCCTCCTTGAATCTATCATTCCTTCTACCTGTACCTGTGTAACTCCTGCTTGGTTTTTTTAGAGGTCACCTCCTCCAGGAAGCCTTCCCTGCTTTCCTCCTTTTCCAGACTAGATAAAGATTCTTAAGTTGACTTCTGGTTCCCCAGGTAAGGAGCTTGGAAGTCTCCACTCCGTCCTAACAAGTGAAGAGCTGAACAGATTGAAAAAAATCAACAACTCTTCTGGAATCTGTAAGATAGTTGAGGAAACTGGGCAAACCACTGCTGCCAAGATTGGAGGAACAGAAAGGGGAATAGGGACAGTCGCTGGGACCAGCATCCATTGTTATCAATTGTTCAAAAATAATAGTAACAATGTATTCAATTGTGTGTGCTTATGTATATTAGTATACCTTACGTGCGTGTGTGTGTGTGTGTGTGTGTGTGTGTGTGTGTGTTGGGAGAGAGGAACTAGGATTATTTTATTATTATAAGGTACTCACACTACTCTACCAGTGAAGTTGTATACTGTTATTTGAAAGTGGACTTGGGTTAGTTGTAAATGTATATTGCAAACTCTAAGGCAACCACTAAAAAGGTTTAAAAAGAAGAATAACTGATATATTAAAAAAGGAGATAAAATGGAAACATAAAATAATCTATTATATTAGGACCACAAAAGGCAGAAAAAGAGTGGCAGACAAGAAATAGGGAACAAAGAACAAGGGCAACAAATAGAAAATAGTAACACGTACCATAGATATTGATCTAACTTTATCAATAATCACTTTCAACATCAATGGTCAAATGCACCAAATTAAAAGACAGAGATTGTCAGAGTGGATCCAAAAATAAGACCCAAATATATATTGTCCACTTTAAATATAAACACACATATAGATTAAAAGTAAATGAAGAAAAAAAAAATATATATATATACCTCACTAACACACTGGCCAAGGCAAGATTATGTTTTAAAAACATCTCTCTATGAATCTAATTCATGCCCTGCAATTCCTTATAGTATCCAGTAATTTTCAACCATTGTGCTGCAAGAATTTTTAAAATATGCAACACTGACCTCTTTTCCCTTAAATTGTCAAGTTAAAAAATGACAACAGCCAACATAACAAAAGCTATCTTATGTAAGTGCTTTGTCTTGAACCATTCATATATGTCATACAATAAAGTTGCATCTTATTGGTTACATTGCATAATAAGGTTACGTCTGATTGGTTAATTCTTTTTTTTTTTTTTAATCCTCACTCAAAGATTTTTTTCGGGGGGGGGGGAGAGAGAGAGAGAGAGAGAGAGAGAGAGAGAGAGAGAGAGAGAGAGAAACATCAACCAGTTGTCTCCCATATGTACCAGACCAGGATCGAACCTGAAACCTTTTAGGTGCATGAGATGACACTCCAACCAACTGAACCACCTGGCCAGGGCTAATTGGTTAATGCTTGGCAGAAGAAATTCTTATATATATAAGTACTGATTTTTTTATTTTTTTAATAATATATTTTATTGATTTTTTACAGAGAGGAAGGGAGAGGGATAGTTAGAAACATCGATGAGAGAAACATCGATCAGCTGCCTCTTGCACACCCCCTACCGGGGATGTGCCCACAACCAAGGTACATGCCCTTGATGGGAATCGAACCCGGGACCCTTCAGT